ATCTTTTGTGAAAAAAGAAAAAAAATCTCACCTGTCATCAATAGCTTACTGTCTTCAGGCCAATATATATATATATTACTGTCATTATATTATCTGTTATTTTTTTTTTTTAACCTTCTCTTGGCAGAATTTTGTTTGAACCCTTTGAGTGTAAAGAAAAAGCATGAATCCCATTGAAATGATCCGGCACAGGCGGCTTTTGCCGTTTATGACACTCGCCACGCCAACTTTCTAGTTTATTACATACACTTATAAGGTTAGTTCCAGTAGTAAAAATATGATTTCAGCAAGAAAAAGTAGTGAAAATAAAAATATAATGCGTGGTTGGAAGTCATGAATTTCAACCGCTCTAATGTAGCCAAAAAAAAAAAAAAAGATCCAGGAAATGAAATCAATCATATATATGCGCGAGTGTAGTACTCCACGTCTCAGTTTTTAATATATTTTTTATCAAAGTTTTGATATTAATAAATTTCAATGAATATATTTTATAATTTTTTAAAATAAATTTTAAAAATAATTTTTATTTAATATAAAATTATTTTGTAAAAAAATAAATATAGAGAGAAAATGTAATAAAGAGTGAAGGATAATATGGAAACAAACATAATTAATAAAACCTTACTTTTGTTAAAAACATCTTATACTTTTAAAACAACAAATCACCTTTTAAAACTAGGGTTAATTTATAATTTGAATCTTAAATTATAGATTTAGAAGCAATTTAAACTCTAAATTTGAACTCCTTTTGTTAAAAAATATAAAACATTTCTAACTAAATCTCACCCCGATAAAATAGTTACTTGTCTTCAAATTAACTCTATTTTTTCATATTTATCCCTCTTTAATAAAGTGTTTTATTTTAGAATAAATATAAAATAATTTATTTAATATGAGTATTTTTAAAAAAAGACAATGATTATACCTTAAAAGATTAAAATATCTCACATTTTTAAACATCTAACTCCTTAAAAAATACTTTATATTTTTACACGAAAGGAGTATTTAGTATATTTTAAATTTTAAATAATTAAATTTGGAATAATTTCAACCCATCATTCAATTAAAACAAATGTTACTTTTTAAAAAAATAGTGTCTAATGTATAATTTTTTTTAAAATTTCAACCTCCCTCTCTTTCCTATCCTCTTTTAAGAGAAATTGCACATTATTTCCTATCTTTTAAAGATAATGGACTTTTTTTTCATTTGACAATATGGGCAAAATTATCCTAAGTTTAATAGTTTAGAATTTAAAATATACCAAATACAAGTTTAGGGGTTTAAATTGCCTCTGAACTTACAATTCATAATCCAAATTATATGTTAATCCTTATAAATACTCCCTCCATTTAAAAATATAAAACATCTTTGAAAGACTTGGATGTTAAAAAATATAAGGCATTTTTAATCTTTCGAGGTGTAATCATTGTCTTTTTTTTAAAAGTGCTCCTATTAATAGTAACTTTATATTTATTATAGGATATTTAAAAAGGATAAATATAAAAAGATAGGATTAGTTTGAGAGTATATAATTACTTTATTAGGGTGAGATTTGATTAAAAATGTCTTATATTTTTAAATGGAGGGAGTATTATATTTTCTCAAGACTATAATATAAGTTATCTTCCAAAATTTTTGTTCAACCCGAAATATCATAAGGTATTGAGTATGTGTTATATATTTTTGTCAATTATATCCATATTTTATTAAGTGATTAATAAAGATGTTTTGAATAAATTAAATGTTATATTTTTTACACTGAAAAATACGATTGAAAATATATGAAAATTTAAAAAAATTAATTAATTTTTTATAAACAATATAAATTAATTAATAATGATTTATATTATAATAAGAAAATAGTATAAATTAGAATCGGTGAATGATTTAGATTAATGCACGTGGGAAATCAATGAGACACGGGAAAGAGAGAGAACCGGAAAAGGGTGAGGACTGAGGACGGGACATGATCACATGATGTCACGTCATCTCTCTGTTTTTTCCCCTATTTTTTATGTTTGAAAAAAAAAAAAAGCCTCTGCCATCGAGGCAGATCGCCTGAAAGAAGAATGCCGTACAGTCGGTCACAGAAGATTCGAGAAGACAGGAAGCCACCATTAAATTTGCCAATGACTTTATGCTATTGCTGTAGTTAAGGCCTTAGGTGTTTATTACGCCTAATATATTAGGGAAAACTAATATACTTATGTTTATATATTTAATATATTTATTTTTAATTAAATTAAGATATGTGCATCTTGTATAGATTATTTATTTTATAATAAATTTTTGTTATTAATTAACATATTAAGATATATTTGTCATTGTTTGATTGGATATAAATACATATATTAAATATATATGAGGCTAATATATAACTCTTATCCATATAATTATATTTCATTTGGTACAAAATATAAGCATTTTCTCTCAACTAATATTTTTTCAAAAATTATAAGCAATTGATACATGTAACTTTGCTTTTATTTTATTTATTATATTTATTAACCTAGATATTTGAATAAATGCAACTTTCACTTATCATAAAGTGCATTGATAATTGAAAAGAAGGGTAAAAAGAAAAAAATAATATATATAAGACTTTATTAATATATAATTTTTCTTTTCAAAAACTACTTATATTTTGGACTAGAAGAAATATTAGGTATCTATGACTGGAATCTATCCAGTTTGATTATTAGGACCATATTCAACACCATATTCTTTGTCATATGGATTCTTCATAGCCTTGATGATACTCCAAAATAACTCTTTTAATTAAATTAATAGTATTCTTTAATGAGGTATTAAAAATTAAATTGATCATTAAACTTGTCAAGATATTAGTACAAGGATTAATGATCAAAATATAGTGGAATCATGTTAACCAATCATAAAAAAATAATTATTAAAATGATTAAGATACTAGTTTGACAATTCAATCAGGAGGTTGACTTGTATTTTTATAATATACTCCTAGGTCTTATTTATAAAACAATAAGAGAAAGATTTTTTTTCATCTTATTTATAAAATGTCATTGACTTTTCATCATATTTTCTTCTTTTATCCTTATAAAATATTAAGGAGGTGAAATATTAAAATATATTAATATATGCACAGAGCATATATATATTCCAAAGGGATAAAGTTATATGTTTTTTTTTTACAAATTTGTAACTTGCCATCTTGATTAAAAATATAAGGATAAAGTTTAAAACTTTGATAAGTTTTTAGAAGAGGTAATTAATGAATTTTAATATTTTACTTGTTTTTGATAAAATATTTTAAAAGTAATTTATAAATAAAATTAAAAGGAATCTAATTTATTAAACAATATATATCATTTTCAAATTAAATAATTTTAAGCAAATTGATCTTTTAAAATCCCATGATTCCCTCCTTTTGCCCATGATCTTTAATTAATGTATGGAATCACGTGGAAGTTGACTATTTGGTGCAGTTGGTGAAATCATACGTGAAATATAGGAGTTATCTTGTGAAAGCATGGTCTCTCTGGTTTTTTTTTTTTTTTTTTCCTGAGAGAGAGAGAGAGAGAAGAAAAATAATCAAAGCAACTAACTTCAACAACATTCACACAACACAAGTGCAAAATTTTGAGCACCAGGATCTTATGTTATTGTGTATTCCTTGACGAGAGTATTGCTTCTATTGATGGGATTGACAAGGAATTCACTTTAGTTTTTTTCTTTATTTACTCAATAAAAGTATATTTTTATTTATTTAAATATGATGGATAATTGATAATTTTAATTAAAAATCTAGCTCCCTTCACCTCAGTTCTTAAGACACTTTTAGATGTGATTCATTATTACAAAACAAGCATTTTGACAAAAAAACAAGGTTTCATAATTATATATCTATTTATTAATGTTTCACAAATAAGTTTATATTAAATGATTGTTATTTTTAAAAATTTGTATTTATGTTTTAAAAAATTGTAAATTGTATTTAATAAAATTTATTAATATGTGTAATTTAGCATTAGATTAAACAAATTTATCTCATTTTTTGATATTCATAATTAAAATTATTTATATTACAAGAATTACATTTTATTAATATTGGCCATTAATTAGAAAAAATATTTTACTATATATTTAGGCTTTATTAGTATTTTAGTAATAGTCAATAATAGTTATTTTATTATTTTTATTCCAAAAGTATTATAGTTATTTACTCTGTTTTCCCCTGTTGAATATTTACTTTGGCTTCTTTTACTATCCTCTCTCTTATATATTTCACCCCCCATAACTAAGCATAAGTTCATTCATGAAATAGTTTTCTTTTCGTTACGTAATCAACTTTACTTCCCCGCACAACCCCCCTCCCTCTTCTTATCATATTATTAATTCATTTTAATTTAAATTCTTCCAACCAAACGGATTCGTAGAACTTCAAAACAAAACCTTCTAGCTAGTCTTGCAAGTATATTGTGACGTAGAAGCAGGAAATAATAAAGAAAAACAATGACCAGTTTTGTAATTTCTTCTTTTCTCTCCATGCAAATTGACGCTCGCACAATCCCACAAATAAAACTGAAGTACCTATCTCTCTCAATAGCTCATGCACATGCATGTGTGTGTGTGTGTGTGTGTTTCAAAAGTAACCAAATCCTTTTCTTTTATTTGCCCTCTCCAAAAAAGTACCCATCAATCACGTATCCTTCTGATGCATGCTGTTATGTCTACCAACTTGTATCATTTGGAATTAAACAAAATATAAATCGTTTACGTATAGTTTAAACTGTTACGTACGCGGTTTATTATATTACAGGCGGAATATAATAGTGATCCGACTGCAAAACCTTATAACTTGATGTTTATTCAATCACAATGTCAACTATATCAGTCTGACATGTACATACAGAATCTGAAAAGCTTATGCCTATTTTCGTACTTTTTTTATTTCTGAGTTCCATATATAATGCCGCTGAAGCTATCAAAGCCTTGCACACAAAAGTCGAAGGCATCACTTCTTCTCACGTCTCGGCTTCTATATCCTTTCACTCTACTTCAACCATTTTTCTCTCCTATCAGTTAATAAAAGTTCAAATCTCTTAGAGCCTCTTTGGGTTATCAAACTCTAATTATTCTGTTGGTCCCTTAGAAATGGAGAACTTGAAGACTCCTTTCAAGGGCATAGTTAATGATGTTCGAGGAAGAGCAAAGTGTTACAAGGAAGATTGGATCTCTGGTCTCCGTGCAGGAATCGGGTAATGTCCTTACTACTTATCTATACTTTCAAAGTGTGTGTGTGTGTGTGTGTGTGTGTGATGCTAGAGTTCAATCTTATATTCAAATCACAAACCCTTATTCTTTTTCGTTTCTCTAATGATAGGATATTGGCTCCAACTACCTTCATTTTCTTCTGTGCTGCTCTTCCTGTTATAGCCTTTGGAGAACAGCTCGATATAGAGACAGGTTTTTCCTCTGCATAATATGCATAAAGAACATGCACGTTTTCAAGAATGTCGTGCGGGCATGACACATTGTCAATACGTGTACAACAGTATTGAAAAACGTGTGTTATTTATTTGTTGACTTGATCATACTTCTATATGTGGCCCCCTATCAATCCGTGTACAGAATGTTGTGAACCAGCGAATGTTGCCTTAAGTTGTGTCGTAAATGCTGTATATACTGTAAAAGTTGATGTTATAAGTTAGAGCCGCTAATTCGGATGGGTTAGGCTCAATTCGGACTGGGTTTATACTTAAAGTATTATACCTCTTAAAAAAACTTATATAATCAAGCTCGACCATAATTTTTTTCGGCCGGGTTTGGGCTAGCTCATAAGGCTTGGCCAAAATTAAAAACTCTACATGCATATAGAGCTATAAATTTTAATGATCAGGCTTAAAATATTCTACCCTCTTAAAAAATCTCACTAGTCAAGCTCGACCCTAACTTTTTTGAGTAGGTTCAGACTGACCCGTTGGGCATAGCTTGAATTACTAGCTCTATTGTAAGTCACCCATTGGGTAGTATTACAAAAAAAGTGAGATTTATAAGTTCAACACTGAATATGCTAATATTTTGGGATATACTCTTCCTTTAAACTTGTATTTGTAACAGTTGATATATCTATTGTACTATGTTTGTGTTCATGTGAATGTTACTTGGTGCTTCACAGTTTGCATGCATGCCTTAATTAGACTTAAAATTGGATATTTCTTGTTTTTTTTTTAACTGGTGGTTTTGTTTAAAGATGGAAGTTTCAGCTCAGTAGAAACACTGGCTTCAACTGCTATATGTGGAATCCTAAACGCAGTTATTGGAGGGCAGCCTCTGATAATACTGGGAGTTGCAGAACCCACTGTCATCATGTACATTTACATGTACGATTTTGCCAAAGATAGGGAAGGCCTTGGACGACAACTCTTCTTGGCTTGGACTGGATGGTAAGAATAGAAAATCAATAAATTAAAAAATTTAAAATTTTTATAGGAAGAACTCAAAGTTGAGTGGATATTCATAAACATCTCCAAGTTGAATGTGTATACTTATTTTTTTATGATATTATTTCTTTCTTGTTGAACAAACTGGAATTATTTTTACATGACAAAACCCCAAGCTATTGCTTTATAGGAAAAATTTTATGTTCTAGCCAAGCATCCACCAAGACTTCAAATTAAATCCTAGGAAATATAGGACTTAGGATAGTTGCAGACCCCAAGTCCTCCATGTTTTAACTTTGCCAAAGGGATTCTTGAAGGTAATTAATTGTCAACTTCTGTCAAGGTAACAGTTAATTAATCCATTACAAAATGGGAACAAACACAGTACAATTCTATGTTGGGCAATCTAATCTTAACAATATATAACAATAGTTTGTTTACAATCAATTGTCAGTCGGACAATCTATAGCTGATTATCTCATTGTGCTAAAAGGATTACTTTAGAGTGAAGCAGTCAACTGTTAGCTAGGCAACAGTCAATTATTATGTGTTTGGTTAACTGTGCAAAGCTCCTCTTTCCCATCTAGCTAGCTTCAATTGAAAATTTACTCCGATATTAACAGAAATTATCTGTTGTATTCTTGCTTGTCTTTCATTAACCTAGTTCGCCTTAGAGATTTTGAAAGGCTAATTGAAGTTAATGTGAAATTTATGGACTTTTCAGGGCTTGCGTTTGGGCAGCTTTGGTGTTGTTTCTGATAGCAATATTCAATGTTGGTGGCATTGTACATAGATTCACTAGGATTGCTAGCGAGCTTTTTGCCATGTTGATCACACTCTTGTTCCTTAAAGAGGCCATCAAGGTTCTTAATTTTAAACAGAATATTTAGCATAAGACATAAAAGCAATTAAGTTTTGAAGTTCTGAACTTGAATTTTTCTGAACTGCAGGGAATGGTGAGTGAGTTTAAGGTTCCTAAACATGAAAAAGACCTAGCATTAGAACAAAACAAATTTCAGTGGCTTTATACAAATGGATTATTGGGAATTATATTCTCCTTTGGCCTTCTCTTTTCTTCTCTCAAGATCAGGAGAGCTAGATCGTGGTTATATGGCACAGGTTCGTCATCAAGTTCATTGTTACCATGACTTACAGATATTTTAATTAAATAAGATGTATCACTTCAAATAACACGTTGATGTCAGAAGCAAATAATCTGGAAGAAGAGCAACGCTTAAAGTGGATCATTATGAATGACATGTCTATCATATATATCATTATCAAACAATAGAATAAGTACACCAATTAGCTATAGGATAACTTGCTACAGTGAGAGCTGTTATTGTATTGATATGTAAAACCAGACATGACCTACAAAGCTAACACAGTCTGCATAATTTGTATAGGAAAGTTAAGGAGTTTTTTGGCAGACTATGGCGTTCCATTAATGGTGGTTCTGTGGACAGCTTTGTCTTTCTCAGTACCAGCAAGTAAACTTCCATCTGGAGCTCCTAGAAGGCTCATTGCTCCTCTTGCTTGGGAATCTACTTCTTTACACCATTGGACAATGATCAAAGTAATCTAGATTGCCCTTACAGTACACATGCAACATTATATTCTAAACACTGAATTATATGTAATATTTGGTACAGGATATGGGGAAGGTTCCACCTGAATATGTTTTTGCTGCTATCATTCCTGCATTGATGATAGCCGGTCTTTTCTTCTTCGACCATAGTGTTGCTGCTCAGTTGGTAGAGCAAAAAGAATTCAATCTGAAGAAACCTTCGGCTCATCATTATGACATGTTGTTGCTAGGATTCATGGTGTGTGTGTGTGTGTGTGTGTGAAACTAAATATCTTTCTCTTACACAGAGTTTGTGTTTTTGTTTGTGAAAATGTGTTAACACTAATCCCATGAAGAATTGTTCAGACTTTGCTCTGCGGTTTGCTTGGTTTGCCACCTTGCAGTGCACTTCTTCCTCAATCCCCCATGCACACCAAAAGCCTTGCTGTTCTCAAGAAACAGGTGTGTTAATGAGATTTACAATTTTTCTGACAATACTATAAAACAAGCAAGTCCTTGTGCCATATCACACTTGATCATGATTTATTTGAGCATGTAATGTTTAATTTGAATGGTTGGATGTGGAGTTACAGTTGATTCGGAGGAAGATGTTGGAAAGTGCCAAAGAAAGCATAAAGAGCAGAGCAAGCAACTCTGAGATCTATGGAAATATGGAAGCAGTGTTTGTAGAAATTGACAAGAGCCCAATTGTAAGTCACTTTAATCCCATTTATTCCACTAATAGTTCTCAACACTTTCCTCTTGCTGAAGAAGACTGATTTCTTTTGCAGAATTCAGTGGTGAAAGAACTAGAGAATCTAAAAGAAGCAGTCCTAAAAGGGGAAGAGAAAAATGACCGATTTGACACTGAGAAACAGATTGATGAACATCTTCCCATAAGAGTGAAAGAGCAGAGAGTGAGCAATTTCTTACAGGCAATACTTGTGGGAGCATCAGTGTTTGCTCTACCTCTCTTAAGGAAGATACCAACTTCAGTTCTGTGGGGTTACTTTGCTTACATGGCCATTGATAGTCTTCAAGGAAATCAATTCTGGGAAAGGATACTATATATCCTCATATCCCCTAACAGACGATACAAGTAAGCCCAAATTTTATATTTATTTTGTCTGGGGTCAATTAAACACACACAAACCAACACAAAGCGCACTGGTGTGAATACCACAGGTTTAGAATCTGGGGGACATTCCTCCCAGGAAGAATTTTGAGGGCTTACTTGATGCCATAGTCTCTGTAGTTTTGACAAAACTACAATCAGTTCTCATTGGTAATGTTGAACTATATTTGTTGTTTGAAATTAATGATAGGGTTCTGGAGGGGGACCATGCTTCGTTTGTAGAGACCGTACCATTCAGAGCCATACTGTTGTTCACACTGTTCCAGTTTGTATATCTGTTGGTTTGCTTCGGAGTGACTTGGATTCCCAATGCAGGAATGTTGTTTCCTTTGCCCTTTTTCTTGCTCATCATAATAAGACAGTATTTGTTACCCAAGTTATTCAATCCTCAGTACTTAAAAGAACTAGATGCTGCTGAATATGAACAAATTATTGGCACTTCAAGGCTTTCCTTCCGTCACTCTTCCCGTCTCAATCTCCACCAGGTAACTCATGATGCATTATATATATGTATATATATATATATTTGAATATGATAATAAGAAATTTCTTGCATAAATTAATCTGTAATTTTCATTTGTCGATTGTTAAAAGGATATGAAATCAGGGAGCATGGAAGCAATGGAAATAGAAGATGATGATGAGATATTAGACGAGGCTCTAACAGGAAGAGGAGAGTTAAAGGTCAAAGCTATTAGCTTCAGAGAGGACATACATGCCCATGCACAGTTCTTACGCAGAGAATCAAACTTGAAGGTCAAAGCTATCAGTTTCCGAGACGAAAGACATGCACTACGCGCGCAGGTATATATACTACGCAATTTTAATGTTTTTACTTTTATTTTATTTTATTTTTTTATTTACTTTGCTCATGAGAAAACTAACTTACATGTAATTATCTTTCATTTTTTGTATGCGAAGGGGTTGCAAGTGTTTCCTGATGAAATTATAATTGAAACGGATTTGTAGAAGATTACAAAGGTCTCTGGGAGGAAAAAGCTGAGGTTATGGACAAGACAATAATGACGACTTTGCTATTGCGGGGAAATTGATACCTAAGAATTTCTCAGAGGAAAGTCATGGAATTAAGGAGGTCAAGTTCTGCATATATGTATGGCCAATTTTCAAATCAAATTATGGTTATAAATATTTACAAATAATCGGCACTATATATATACATAACCTGGTATATTGTAACTGTTGGAGAAAAGGTCCTAAAGGTGCTACGTCTGCCGGAGCTCAAAGACTCATACAGTGTCCCAATATAATGAAAACTGGTTCATAGGTTCCTTCGCCGCAGTTTACGCGAATAAAATGATTAAAAAGGTAAGTTGCTCCAAGTGGAAAAATTAATGTGTGGGTTAATACGTTACAACAAAATGTAAATTGACTGAGTGTCAACGGGCTAATGATTAAAATCAAAATAAATCGTTTATAAAATGTGTATGAGGCTGAAGCTATGTAGGAGATTTTTCCTCTAATCCTTATTATATATTCCCCCGTTTAAAAATATAAATTATTTTTAATAGAATTTTATCTTCTAATAAAGTAATTTTTTTTAAATTAACACCATCTTTTTATACTTACCCTTATTTAATAGGATGTTTCACTCTAAAATAAATCTAAAATAATTTATTCATTATAGGGCACTTAAAAAAATATAATAATTACATCTTGAAATACTAAAAATTTATTATATTTTTTAACATTTAATTTCTTAAAAAATATCTTATATTTTTTAAAGGAAAGAATATAAAATATATCTAACTTTACCCCTATTAACAATATGAAGAGAGAGCAGTCAGATATGTACAGTGTACAATGTCATAAAATTAAATTTACAACAAGGGTCGAATTGGAAAATGGTGATAAATAACCCTTCATATGTCTTATACCCCCTCCAGTTTTTTTTATAAGTCACACTCTAAAACGTTTTCTTGATCCTTTATGTAAATCACTTGCTCTTTTATTTCATGACCTTTGATATACAATTCCAAAAATATCTTTCAACAAATTTTAAAAAGAAGTACAACATTTTAATTTAAAAAAAAACTTTTTTCATACATCAAATCACTTTTTTTAAATATAGGGATAAAATTGAAAAATAATTTAGTTTAAAACTAACTTACTTTAGTTTTGGTGAGTTGGTTAGAAGTAATTTATGATGAAGATTGTTGATCATGTTGATGATGATCTCTAGAGGGAGGGGCCTTATACACACACACATGACAAGCATGATCTGGCGTCTGGCTTACCCACTTCCCTTACTTTTCAATGCGGCTGCGGGAACATTATTATCCTCAATACTAACATTACAGTTCAACTTATGTATGTTTTTATAATTATTTGTTCGGGTAATATAAAAAATTCCAAATTAAAAGATAATGGAAAGAGGGAAATGAGAAATGAAAATGAGAAGAGAATGCAGGGAAGGCTTAGTGTTCTAACATTTCAAATAAACTAAGTTGTATTAATCATGATCATAATCCCCAACCAGTGGGTGATTTCTCACTAATGATTGTTTTAAATTTGATTACCCTATAAAATTGCGCCCACAACTATCTAGAAATGTATTTGGATACATGCATTTATATATAAATTTAAAATATAATATTTAAAATTTGTATATTCAAAATCATTTATTTATATAGTATAAAAAATTTCAAATAAACGGAAGAGAAGCTAATCCGATCACTAATTAATTAGATGTTATGAGGATCAAATCAAGCATCAGATTAATCAACCGAAACCAAACCCAAGCTTTTCTACTGTTTTTCTTTTTTTAAGATTGTGTAAGCTGATTATTCTTGGGGGCTAACCAGGATTAATGCATGTCTTCAATCTCAAAAAGTATTTATAAAGATACTCCCTCCATTTAAAAATGTAAGGCATTTTTAATCGAATCTTACCATTAATAAAATAGTTACCTATTTTCCAACTAACCCTATCTTTTCATATTTACCCCTATTAAAAATTTTATAATAAATATAAAGTCATTATCAATAAGGGTACTTTAAAAAAAAAAGACATGACTACACCTTGAAAGACTAAAAATGCTTTATATTTTTTAACATCTAACTCTTCAAAAATATCTTATATTTTTGAACGAAGGAAGTACCTATAAATCACCTATTGACAAGATAATAAAATCTTTATATCAATAATAAAATTTGAATTCATAATTTTATGAATTATAAATTAAATTTTTATTAATTGAGTTAATCTTTGTTAACCACCAAACCTTTTTAACCCGGGAAACATATTAACTAAAGTAGAAAACGACATGCCCTACTTGGCTTCCGTTACTTGTGGAATTGAAACATCATGTGCCTTTGGACGCTGGTTTGCTTTATTTTTATTATTATAATCATTATAATTGTAATAATCATGATCCACAACGAGTAGGTCAGTAATCGCTAGCTTCCAAGCTCAAAAAACAAAAAACAAAAGTTGAAAAAAAAAAGGTGATCGCCAGCTTTGTTTGAACTTTGATTGCCTTATAAATTTCCGCACAATCAAGTGATCAACTTATGTGACGTGCAGCCTCCATTTTTTTTAAAAAAATTAGGTGAACAAAAAATAAAAAAAGTTAATAAAATGTGACGCATCTCCAAAAATAAAATTAAGAAAAAGACATTTTATAAACATGATGTATATGTACATTCACGCAAACACGGCTTTGACTTTTAAGCGTAAGAAGATTACAAGGACATGCACCGAAATTTCGTACGTTGTTGAAAATTTTGAGTGTTTTGTTTAATATTGTTTAAAATTTTTGCAGGGGTGTAACCATTTGATATTTGTACTTGTTTGTGTTAATTAACTAATTATTAAAAGAAAACCACGATAAGTGTTATATATATATATATGTACATGAAGATTTCCAAGTGTACGGTGAAATCATTGTTAAAATATGGTGCATGATTTAGATGGAATCAAATTTAAAACAATTATACTCTCACAAATGACTACAATCTTTTTGTCATGTCTTCATCGATCCAAATCAAGTAGATATCTTACTTAGATTAGTTAGAGATAGACCAAATAAATAAATTTGCCATTCAATTTATATAATTAACTTCATTTAATAAGATAAAAATTGTTATTGTTAATATAGTATCTTATTAACTAAGCTATGAGCTAGTATTGGAGAAGGGGATGTATTAGAAATGGTGAACAAGTGCCATGAAATGAGGGGGGGAATAAATAGGTAAAAAGTAATAGGATACCATGTTTTCAGTTAAAATTTCATAGTTCAAGTTGATGTTTTCTTCTTTTTTATTATTTATTAAAATTTATTTGATATAGACTTTTTACATTAACTCAAATTCATTTATATTTAAATAACATTTAGACTTTTCACATTAACTCAAATTCATTTACACTTAAATAACTTAATAAGATGGTGTGTGCAGCCGTCAAGGAGCAAAACCAATCTTGCAACAGATTGAATTCATTGGACTATCAACCATACATTTTAGGGGATAACATTTTTTCAGGTAGTAAACCATCCCTATCCGAAAGCAAAAAACTCTAACTAATTAGAACCGAGCGGGGATAAAATCTTTTTGAGCAGAACCTCAACCACAAAAAACTGTTACATTTTAAGGATTTGAATTCAAGATTTTTAATTAAGTTAATATAATTTCATTACCAATGCAAGGCTACTATTTTTGCCAGCCATTAGGGAAAAGCACCTATTGCACAGGAGATGATTTATTTATTGGTATAATAATGGGATTTATTACATCCCAGAAGGGGATGAATTATTTAATCAGTCCACGACAGGGCTTTCAATATCAACAGCAACTTTGGGAAAAATGACAAGATCGCTATTGGCATCATCGGACTAATAACAAATGTTTCACGAACAAGGAATATATTGTAGGAGAAAACGACATACCGTACAACGGACAATGTACCGTACGTACGTACCCTTGGATTTGAAGCTTGTGTTCCTTAATTTCAATGCGGTTAATTTATTTTATAGTAATAATAAAACTAAAAAATCTCCAGTGAATGGGACGACGGCCCAGTGCCCACTTCTGTTTGAACTTTGAATCTTAATTTACTCGCACGGATTGGTTGGCTCAACGTGCTTATAATTTGAACATGGAGTTTGTTTTCTGGTTATTTAATTTCCTTCTTCATGTCTTACAGAAAGCTTGTACATGGAGGGACGGATTCAAAAACAACTCTATAGAGAGTCAAAATACAAAATTATATAATAGTGAGAAACAAAAGTTAGTTTTACCATTTTTTACGAGCAAAAATAAAACAATTTTTTTAAAAAAAATTTGAGGTGCTCATCCCTGAGGCTGTTTAGGTGACTCAAAAGTTTGGTCCTACCTAAGCTAGTTAGGTTGGGGTCAATCCTATCCCAACTCTACTCGACTCAAAATATTTATTTATTTATTTATTTTACTTATTTAATTTTTGTCAAAATTTAATTATTTTATAATGTTTATTTTTATTTAATTTTCACATATATTATATTATTTTTTATGTTCATCATGAATGTCTTTTATAATCTCAATTTTCTAATTATTTAAATATTTAAAATTGATTTTTTACTTTATATCATGTGAAAATAATAAATAATTTTTAATTACATACAACTTAAAAAATTATTACTTCAAATTCTAACATTTTTTATAAATAATTCATTTTAAATAATTTTAATTATATTTTGTATTGTTAATATTTTTGTATTTAAATTTTTTTAAAAAAAATTCGAGCATTGGGCCAAAAGCTCAAAACTTGAGCTAGCATTCAGGAGGCCCAATGCCTGAATGCGTACATAGAGTCGGGCATCAGGCTAAGGTGAAGCCCGACTTGACTCATATACACCCCTACTCGTCTCCTTGTGAGTCCGCCCCTGTGTTTATGCATGTATGTGTAGCGTTCTTCATGTATGGGGCTTCATTTCCAGTCATTACTCATTATATTAGATTATTTAATTAAGAAAAATATCAATGAAAGATTTTTAAAAGAATTTAATATTTGATGAGAACCTGGACGGATCAAATACTCATTAAAACAAGAATTTTACTTTATCAATTGTTAATGTTTACTTATCCATTAGCAATCCTTTTGTAAAATTAAATTATTTTCAAGGTCCTTTACTTATATTCTCCCTTTTAAATATTTGCCTTTCAACTTTTTCTTGTTATTAAAAAAAT